AGAGTGAGGGCTTGCTGAGAGACCCAAAGGAAAGGGAAATAGGTGTGAGGGTGAGGTGATCTCCTCAGTGTGCAGCAGTACCACACTGCCCACAGAACCCCAGATAAAGCTCAATTTCAGCATGGCAGTCCTCAGGTCTTGTCGATCGTTTGCGCAGCTTTGCTGCTGCACTGAAATCCCCAAGGCACACTAGAAGTACTTCCAGCTTGCAGTTTTCTGTCATTTGAGAAGATGGCTCACAAACTCTATTTGACTCAAGGGATTGCTGTAGGTAGAAAACAACAATAGTGCTATCACTAAGCAGATGAAGTAAGTGACCTATTTCATTACCTGCGTCTTTATATATAAAGATATGTATATTTATTATATAGGTATATTTATTATATGTATTTATGTATATAGATAGGTATAAAACAAGGTTGGTTTTTTACCTGCACAGGTAGTCATTTCACAATTCCAAGGTTTCATTTCATAGTTTTCAAGCCCAACCATTCACCTTAATTGTTAAAAAAATTGGTCTAAAATTTTGAATTTATATTCTTGATAAAATTACTGCAAAATTCGCCTGCCCAGTGCCAAGTAAAAAAAATGTGTACCCATCCTAATTTTCATTTTTCTTTCAGCTGTGTGTGTAGTATGAAAAATCTACACAGCAGTTCCAACTGGACACAGATTAGGAGTATCCTGAGTCTGCAAGTCCCTATTTGCAGTTTCTCAAAACCTGTCAGTATCACAAATATTAACATTTTCAGTCATCACCTCCACATATAAAGTCTACAGTATGAGGGACACCATTTATTTGGAGCAGAAGCACAGAGATACCTACTTTCATTTTACTTTTAAGGCACAAAATATCACTAGAGAGAGATTGCATAGTCATAATTTTTGCATTTTTTCCCCTTTATTTCTTTAAAACTAGTGATCTTCCTGCCTGTAGAGCTGATCTAGAAGGACACAGAAAGAATCTCCAAATTTCCCTCTTTTTCAGTGATCTTGCTTTTTTTTTAAATTAGCCAACATATCTGAGTAGGACATTATATTTGTATGATGTGCACTTTCTGGTGCCAAATTAAAATAAGCAATGCAAAAAAGGTATTTAGTAAAGTGGAAACATTAATTTGTGTAAGAAAAAAGATGCCATCCTGAAAGTTTAAATATAATGAAGGTAAAAAAATGAACATGCATTTGGCCCAGGATAGTTTCTGCATTATGCTTTATGATTATATGATTTGTCTTGCTTCTAGTAACCACTTGACATGCCTTAGAATATGAAAAAAAGAGTAATGCTTAATATATTAGAACTAGTGGATTTCAATTGGTTTAGTTTATTAGTGCTTACGTATATCTAACAAATATGAAATTATTCCCTGCCCAAAAGGTCTGCCTTGTCTAACACAGAGTAAAAACATATTTTTAAAATCTTATTTACCACCTGTATGTCTATCTTATAGACCCTATATATACTAAACCCAGAGTAGAAATTATTTGGGAAGAAACTTGGTGCTATCATTAGCAAGGGTTTCAAGAAAACTTATTGAACAACAGTATGAGGAAATAACCATAAGAAAAGACCAAAAGAGCAGAAATTGAAGCCACCACAAGTGTTTGAAAACAAAACTGGGTTTGGTACAATGGAGTTACAGCTCCCATAGGCTGTGAGCTGACTGCATCCCATGCCACTGGTGTCACTTAACACTAAACAGCACAAATGGATCAGGGTGGTAGCTCTGCCATGGGAGCTCATTTCACTGACAGAATGGACAGGAAATGTAATAGCAATAGAAATATTTAATTATTTCTGTGAAGGTAGAAACTTCCATGCAGAGGACATGCACTTTTCTTGGTATGGCAGCTGTGTTATCTCCAGTCTTATTAAAAAACTACAGATTTATAACTGCATATCTCAGAGGTGAGAGAGAGAACTAAAAATATTGAAAACTAGTGCCAAAACTCTCCAGAGTAAGCTCCTAGAACTTTGGACACTAAGCAGCCTGATTTCCAAAACTGCAAATTATCTATTTAGTTGCCTGTATTGTATTCTGGGGTGCTCAGCAAATTCCAAGATGCCCAAAAGCCATGCTGAGTACCCACCAGGTTTCACTCAGCCTGGGTGTTTGAGCAAACCCCGCTGGAGTGGATGGAAAGACACATTGCTGTGTTTTGAATCTAATTTATTGACTGCAGAAGCAGCTGCCATTTGAAGCACATGTCAAAAACTGATCACCAGATGTCTTGTCACTTGTATAAGCTTTTAGACAACATTTTTAAACAATAACCATAATATTTGAGCATTAGCCCCTTCCCCATAGTCATTAATTTTGGATGTCTTCGCTCTTTGTACAAGGGGTTGGTAAAGAGATCCCGAAGTAAGAACTATGTCACATGAAGTGTTTTATCAAAATTACATTAAAATTCTTCCCCACTGGTGGCCTGGAAAAGCATACTATATTGTCCTAGAAACAGATGGTCTGCAAAGAGAGCAGAACTTCCAAATTCTTAATTCATTGACTACTTTTTCTAGCAACACGTTTGAGAGTGGAAGTCCTGCTGATAATAATTTACCTTTTTCAGTCCTGAAAACAATGGAAAACAGGTCTCAGACATATTTCCATCATCCTCCCCATAGGGAAAGAGAAATCCTTCTCAATCCCTCTGCTCTGGCAGTGTAATGCCATGCAGCTCCTCCTTTGTATGGTCATTAAAAATACCACATAAATCTCTTTGTTCCCAAGCCCCCATTACTGAGGGGTCTTTTCAGTATTTTCTCTACACTGCAGGGTATTTGCAGTTGTTTCAAAACTCAGGTTTAGAGCCCAGATGTCCCCAGTAATCAAGCTGTACAAAGTAGAGTTGAATTTCAACAGTTTGGGTCTTATTTTTGGGATGTTCAGTGGAGGAAGCTCAAGGCTGGTCTCCAGAAGCCAGGACAGCTTGGTTGGGAGAGCTCTCAGAGGAACCAGCTTGCCAATAAGAACATCCTCATCCCTCCTGGAAGTATATTTGCTGGGCTGAGGCATCCCTGATTGCAGGAGACCTGCAGGACAGGCTTTGCTCATGCCTTCTCAAACCAGATGGTAAGATCAGAAATTCACCTAAAACAGCTCAAGCATAAATGGGCATTCAGTCCAGGGGCCAGACTACAGCTCATCTGAACTAAAGCTGCCCTGAAATGTGCAGCAGATTAAGAATTCTAATAGAATAAACTCTGGCACTTACGCCTTAAAACAGATTTTAGCAAGCCTTGGAGAGCAGTGATCTCCCTTAAATACAGTCATAACTGACTTTCACATGGCTTATGACAAAGCTAAATGTAGTGCTGCATACCATCAAGAAGTAAAATATATCGCTCCATGGTAAATCCTAATTCAGTGCTTCAGAAGAACCAGGTAACTTTATGATGGCTGTGTGGGATACAACTCTAATCAAAGATACTATTTGGCAGACAGCTACAGGTAGGATTTTTAAATTTTTTTTTCAAAAAAAGCACTTTACACAAGCCACACCAATTATAATTGAATGAAACTCTTTCCAAACAGCAATCCTAAAGTACTCTCAAGTTGAGCTGGGAGGTCACATTTTTCCACAGCTAATTACTGAACTAGGAGGGAAAGAAAAAAAATATAAAACACCTCAGAGAAAATCGAAAATATTTATTGCATACTATTACAAAGAACTGATAAGTAATTATTTTCATACATTTGTACACTTTTGGTTGGAGAAAGCGGATGTGAGATGAAGGACTCCCATAGTAATCGCTCAGGAGGAATGTTGGGCTCCTTCTCCAAAAGGGACAAATTTTCATAGAAAAATGCATTGTTCAAAAATTTGTTCCAAAAGCTGCTCAAAACTATCACTAGAATGTGTGTCACAAACTATATCAATATTCCAGCATTTTTCAAATATCATGGCATATTTCAGCTACAAAAAACATCACCAAGTCTGCCATTTCTCAGAAACAAGTCTGCTGTAGCAGACTCGAGACTCGAAACATCCAATACATATCCCAAGGGCACCACACGCAGGACTGTGAAGCGCACAGAGGAGATGGGCTGAACCTGAAAGGGATAAATGTTATTTCTGCTGCGCTTTCACGGCGCAGTGAAGGCGAGCGGCACCGGCAAAGCCATAAACTATTCACTCCGATCAGTCAATGTATAATGATGCACAAGAAAGGTCAGGCTACATTAGAGCATCCATTCCGAGAGTCTTAGGGAAGTTCTAAACGCAGGATCAATTGCATTGGTTAAAAGATTGGAACTAAAGATCAGTTACCCGGGGCACCGCGGGTACCGCTGCGGGAGCGCCGAGCGCTCCGCGGGGCGGGCTCGTCCTCAAGCCTTCGCCGCTCGGCAAAAGGCTACCTGCGGCAAAACGTGCCATTTCTGTCCAATTGGCCATGCCCCTTTCACTTTATGGCTAACATAACGTCGAGGGGAATTTTCACGCCGAAGCGCCCTCAACAATCATTCACTGTCTCTTGACGGGAAGCCGGCGCTCCAGCGAGGAGGGGTGAGCCCGGCGGTGGCAGCCCCTTCTCCGCGGCAGCTCGGGGGTCTCGGTCCCGCCGTACCCCGCCAGCCGCGGGGCCCCGCCGCCCTCAGCGCTGCCGCGGTACCTGTTGCGGCGCCGCGCCCTCGGCCCCCGCTCCCTCAGGAGCCCGCGGCGGGGCGCGGCCCGGCCGGGCCCGGGCGGCCGGGGCGGGCAGAGGGGCGCCCCGGGGCCGCGGCACTCCGCTCCGCGCATGCGTCCCGCTCTCGGGAATTGGTTCTGCTCGCCGGACCGCAGCAAGTTCCAGTCCGCGGCTCGTCCCCCGTGAGGCGGCGGCCGGGATGGGGGCGGCTGCGAGGCGGGCCGGCCCGCGGACGCTGCTGCTGCCGCTGGCGCTGGCCGTGGCGTGCGCGGCGCGCAGGTGAGCGCCGCCGGGCTGCGGACGGAGGGAGGGAGGCGGGCGCGGGGCCGCCCTGCCGCCTCCCTAACCCGCTTGTGCTTCTTTCCGCAGCGCCGACGGGCCCAGCAACATGTCCTACGTGAAGGAGACTGTGGACAGGCTGCTCCAAGGCTACGACATCCGCCTCCGCCCGGACTTCGGAGGTGAGGCGCCCGCGGCCCCCCGACCCGCGCCCCGGCCCCCTCAGGTGCGCTAACGCCGCCTCCCGCTCCCCCCGCAGGTCCGCCCGTGGATGTGGGCATGCGGATAGAGATCGCCAGCATCGACGTGGTCTCGGAAGTCAACATGGTGAGTGACCCTCGGGCCGGAGCGGTGTAGCCCCACGCCGCCCCGCCCGAGCGGGCGCTGCCGCAGCCGCGGGACCCGCGGTGCAGCCGGCCGGGAGCCCGGCTGCGCGGGGATGCGCGTACCGAGCCACAGCGATTGCCACAAAATCACCGAGCGCCTCGCAGTTGCTAGGAAAAGTTATTTGCGGTTTTCGGATGATGTTGGCGTGCCTGCGGTGGCACTTCAGGAGAGCTCCCTGCCCTGGTCAGAATACCTACTGCAGATTTGAGGTTCTGGGTCCCTCTTGCTCTGATTTGCCCTTTGCGTAGTCAGCAGCTGCCGTCGGAAGTGCTGGAGTCTCTTGAACTGTAGCAGCAGATGGCCAGATGTGCGTGTTTTCATGTTCAGTAATTTAAAGAGTTAGACAGTTACTTTTCATGATAGTAGCCTTGAGGAAAAGGTGCAAAGAGAAAATAAGAAGGACTTCTAGAAAATGCTCTCTTTCTTGTAGAAGGGAAAAAAAATAATGACACTGCAGAATAAGTACATAAGGATGTTTCTGGCTATCAAAATCAGAAGTCTCATAGCTACAGGTGTGAGACATACTGCATTTGATTTCAGTTCTCCTGCAGGAAGGAATGCTCATAGAAAAGCAGGTTTAAAGAGCAAAAATGTGACTTTAGTGCCTGCCTCATTTGACAGCCTTTCCCCAGAAGAAGACAATGAACCAGTTGCAAGTTTGAATGCTGTATAAAATCACGTTGAATTAGTCAGCATCATGGGCATTTTGCTCTCACTCTCTTTTCTTATGTTTGATCTCACTTGAAAATCTCAGTTGCTTTCTGTACATAAGGGAACACCTACTCAGTTAAAAGAAGCTTAGAAACCTTACATTTCCATCCTCATCAGCTGTTTATTTCAGTGGGTGATATTTGCATGTTTGAAGTAATTTACCTAATGGTGGGGATTTCTTCCTTGGTGTATTGGTTAATAGCTGTTATTAAAACAATCTCGTCATAGATTTTTTTTTTGTTTTGTTTTCATACTTAGTTTTTTTCCTTTTGTTTGTTATATGTGTCACAGGTTCTGTTTGTGCACTAATGTTTTATTTGCTTATGAATATGCATGGCAGAGTGGGGAGGAAACAGAATTTGTCACATTGTATGTAGCATACCAGTGTTTGCAGACTGCTGATGCCACACAAAGACAATATCTTGCAAGTTTCAGCTCCTGGTCTTCCTGTTGCTGTATTGTACTTTCAGTGAGGAACACGGTGCAGACCACACAGATAAGGCAGAGGAAACAGAACACTGACCTTATCAAAATAGTCGAAGAACAAATCTACTCCAACTCCAAACTATTTCTGTGACACTATAGTGGGATTGCCGCTTTCACATCTGGAAAAAGCCAAACAGCAAAACACAAAAACACCTGTTCTGAAAAGTCCAAAACTTATCTTGTAAAGTCTCAACACCTGAAATTCTGTTAGTCTGTAGGGGGGTGGATGTGACTGTTTCCAATGGCAATCTCACAGGGCATAAACTCACAGCATTTCTTCTGTACCTGTCAAAGTTTTCTTCTTCACTGTAAAACTTGCACAGCCTCTGGGAAAGAGGCTAATCCATATGCTAAATGGATTCTTTGAATAATCTCTGTGTGTAGGGGGCAGCTTAACTGAAACTGGTCAAAAAGTAAGAAAATGTTTTCATTTCATAAAATGCCACATCTCACAGTGGAAGGAAGCAACTGGTCCCAGCTGTAGCTGTAACCATTCATGAATGCAAAATATGGAGTCTCCATTCTGAATCACTTTAGAAGGGCTTTGATATCACAAGTGCTACCTGTACATACCCGTATCTAGTGTTCTGTGTTGCAGGTCTTTATTGTGTTGCTAGAGATTGTCTGCCTGGTTTTGGACAGTGATTAGTAATTTCATCCATCATTGAAAAACAAGGCAGTTGATATCTTGGCATAAGAAGAAAAGATTTTTTACTTAGTAAAATAATGTTTTATTCTAGTACTTTTTTTTTATTTCTGAGAAATCACAGCCTTGAGATGCTTAATATTGCAGTCACATGTAAGTCATTCATCTTCTTTTCCTTCAAACTGTGTCTTACAGATGTTTTTTTTTTAAATTTATTTAGTAAGAGCTACTGTTCTGTGGCTTCAGAACCAGAAATGTTTTTCAGAGGGTCTAAATTTATAGGGCAGTTTTGTTGCTGAAGGAAACCAGTAATAAGAGCCAGGAGAGCAATACTCTCATCATATGAGGTCCTCCTGAATAGAGAGTCTGGTTGGATCCACCAGAGTTCAGTCACCTCACCCTAGCAGTATTGGAGGAAGTTGTCTTATCCCTTGGCTTTCCTCTAGAACATGAAACCTTACATCCAGAGTGACAGAGGCACACATTCCCAGTCGTGGTACCCACAGAGTTAAATTTTGTATTCCAGTCTCAATGCATAAATAAGAGTAAAGATTATATATATATATATAGAGAGGGAGAGAGAGAGGCTGTGAAGTTGTGTTGGGTGAGACATGGTCATGGCTGTAGAGTGTCTGCCATGTCAGCAGGGTGATTTGTATGTCCAAGTACATCCAGTCCTTGGGTAAAAAGTTGAGATATAGGCAACAGAATTATTTTGAATTCTGTGAGCTCCAATAGTAGTAACTGTTTGTTCAAGCAGCTTGGCTGGTTGAAGTTGCTTGTTCTAATCTGTGAGACTATTGTAAAATACTTTACTCAGTTAATGAAGCAAGACTTGCATAGTCTTGAAGTCAACTGTTCTGGTTTTTTTTCCCTTACTGCTCAGTCCTCATCTCCTCAGCTCCTTAACTAGCACTGTTTTATACCTGCTTGGTAGTTCAATAATACTGTGGTGAGCTGCTATACCAGCTTTTACAGAATGATTAATTGAAATGCTCATTCTTATGACTCTCCCATTTGACATGAGGTACATAGTCTTATGTTGATTTTTTGCAGGTAATAATCAGAAGATCTTGTCATACAACAAACAAGCAGGAGAACTAGAATGTAAACATCCTAGTGAACTTTGCCTGGTTCTAACCGTGCTTCTTCCCTAATGCACCATAGATAAGTTTTAGTTTAGTTTTCTGTCTGATTTTCACAGTCTTGCTACAGTAACTCCAAGCATTACTTTCCAAAGGCACAAGGTGACCTTTCTCCTTGTCTCAGTTAATGACTATTCAGCTAATTTTCATTCATGACAGAGCTCCTTAAGTATAATAGACATTTACATGAACACAGAGTTCATTAAGAACCATGCTATGACTAGATCTATTAAGCTTCTGTGATGTCTGGTTTACTCTGATGCCTTGATGTGGTTGGCAGAAGGTGCTGCTTGTACATCAAGAATAAACATGGGCAGAATGATTGGCAGTAATTAGTGTCATGCTTCAGGGCAAGCAAGCTAATAATGTATTTCTCTATCTACTAAGAAACAGTTGAGAGAAGTAACTGGACTCGAAAAAAATTGACATGCAGTACATGTTGTAATTTTCTCTAAAAGGTGTTCCATACTGAAGTAAAGGTGGTCAAACCTTTCTAATGGGCAAAAGATGACATGTACATGTCCTAAAGTTTAAAAAAAATGCATATGATAAAGAACCTTTTCTAGAGTAATTAAAAAATACACCAAAGAGGAAAAAAAAAATTAAAAATCCCTTTATTTTGTATTGGGAACACTGTTCCTGACCTGTCATACTGATTTTATAGTGATGATGATGATGATGATGATGATGATGATGATGGTGTAGTTTCTGTGATTACAGACTGAACGTTTCATGTCCCAGCAAAAAGAGGTAAATAAAATCATGGAAAGAATGTATAATTCTTTAGCTTCTCTAAAATTACATTCAAGGCTCTTACATTTATCTGATCTCCCAAATAAGCCACGAATCTTGCAGAGATTAGTTTATTTAACATCCCAACCCGTTGGGTAACATCTTTTTGCCCCAGAAAGAATTTATATTAGCTTAAACCACTCACTTTTTGTATCCTTTTTGTAAAGTTGATAATTAAATAAGCCAACTGCATAAACATATATGTATTTATTATTATGTATGCATGTGTATACATATATATATACACACAAACAGAAGTTTTTGAGTTTGCCACAGAAGCATCCAGGGCCTAGAAGAGCAAAGGCCTTCCCCTTACTTTAGGGCTGATGTTAGCCCAGGTGGCTGTAGCATCCTGCAGTGGCAGATGTTTAGCCAAGAGAATCTGAATCTGTGGGCTTAAACACTTGAGCTGGGTAATGCTTAGAACCAAGGCACTGAAAGTTTGACCATTAATCCTGGCAGGTCACAGCTCGTGCATTAGAACCCAGCTCCAGAAATGGTAGAAGGACTTCTGTGCATGGATGGAGATTATTTTAAGACACTTTTTGCAGATTGAGAAAGACTTAAGCTGTGTTTACTGGAGTAGCCATAATTTCACACATTTTATTCCTCCTTTCTGTCTTAATTAGGTATCTGAGAATTTAGCATGGTGGCTGTTGTGAATCTCAACATAGGAAATAAATCCTAGGGAACCAAATTGGCATTATGAGCCCCATCTCATGCCTCTTTGCATCACAGCAGCCAAGTCTCATTTTTTGTAATCGTATGGCTGGTTTATATAAAACTAAAATGTCAAAAATTCCTTTAGCCCCTGCCAGTGTGGAAACACAAATGATAATAAATGGTCCTTGGTCTAAATATATTTACCAGAAGATGTTCATATTAAACTAATTAGATTAAACTATTTTTTTCTGAAAACTCATAAAGCTTAATAATTATTAATGAAAATGTACTTAGCTGTAGTGCAGAAGAAGGAGAAATACTTCTTTGTTATATAGCAACTGTCCTAAAGAGCATGAAGGACATGCAGAAACACTTTAATATTAATAAGAATGTTCAGTAACTGATTTTATTTTTTTTTTCTAGCAAATATGGAAAAACTAATCAAATAACAATACATTTCATCACTGTCTGTTCCAAACAAGAGCAATTATATTTGA